GACATGCCGTGGAACAGTTTTGGTACGAGTGGAAAACATACGGTAGTGATTTACAGCATGTACACTGTACGACATGCCGTGGAACAGTTTTGGTATGAGTGGAAAACATACGGTAGTGATTTACAGCATGTACACTGTACGACATGCCGTGGAACAGTTTTGGTATGATGACATGATGTTACGTTAATCAAATTGTTTTCCCACTGTCGGTTGCAACAGTTTAGTCAATTTCAATAAACTAGTTTGTCTCAAAAACCATTGCTTGCGACTTGGTAGAGTTGAACAATACTGCAAATAAAACAGTCAAACCTAAATATATAATAAGACATTTTGGCATGAAAATAATATCGTGATTTTTGTTAGAGTTTTTAGTAATGTTTTGTTATTAAACAAACTGGTATCAATTGAGTGTTAGAATGCAAGGAATTGATTGGTTCTTAATCATAACAATGCGTAGTTTGTTGTAAATCATTTATTATCAGTGATGAAAATGACTCATTTAATACTATAAATACTGGAAAGAAGGATCCAGAATGGATCAGGAAAGCTTTGGAATGAACCTTCGTTTGCAAAACAAACAAGATATTTATTAGAAACAATTTGTTAATTTTAATTAAGATTTTCATTAAATCAAACATGCTAGAAGATCGAAGAAAACTTGGAGTCAATAAAAACGGTAGCAAAATCCCAGAAATTTATAGCAATACAAAACGAAGGGCAAGAAAATATCTACTGTAAAAGAAAACAAACGCAGAATTTATTCAGAAAATTTGTTAGTTAATTAAGAATGTTACAAGATGGAAAAAAATGGGAGACGATGGAAATGGTAGCAGTGCCCCCCCCCCCCAAATAATAATAATTGCTTTTTAGACGTTTTTTAGTTTATATAAAAAGACATTATCAATCCAACTTTATACAATGTCACTGACCAACAATGCACTTCGGTCTTGGAATGCACTATTCAGTATGAAGTATTCAGTGTTCAACCGTTTTTGAGATAGCTGTACTACATAAATGGAAGCGTTACTCTTAATGCAATCTTGTTTTTTATTCTCAGGGAAGTTCTCCATCTTAAGATCGTTTGATTACGAAGTCGAGACGGGGTATTCCGTTCAGATTCAAGCAGCCACCCCTACACACAAAACAGCTACTGCTTCAATACAGATAAAAATCACAGATGTCGATGACAAACCGAGCTTCAAGGACCCAAGCTACGAAGTAAGCGTACAAGAGAATAGTGCCTCAGGCACTTCTATACTGACAGCTGCTAAAGGAGGCTTTGTGTTTCAAGACGAAGATTCCAATCAAGACCAGTACGAGTGTTCATTAGAGGAAGTGACGTCATCATACGTGCTTGATCACTTCCGGGTTGATCGAGTGAAGAGCGAATGTTATCTAGTGACTAAGAAAACACTCAGTTACAGTAAAGAGACCCAGTTTCAGTTTAAAGTCACAGCAACTAATAAAGATTTCCCAAGCATGGTGACGTCTTGTTCGGTGGTTTTAAAGGTTGTGGATGTTAATAACTACGCGCCGGTGTTTACTCAGAGTGATTACTGGGTGACTGTCTCTAGTCTTACTGCTGTGGACACCTCTATACTGACTGTCAATGCTCTTGACCTTGACCTTGATGTTGATGGACAAGTGTCGTATCAGATTTTAGCCGCAAGCAACAACGAAGATAATAGGTATTTTAACTGGTTTAAAAGCCTGTTTGATGAATATGTATTGATAGGTTGTAAGCATTCCCAAGATAATGAAGACTTGAATTACATATATGACGTAAGGTTTCTTTTCGTTTTTTAGCTTTTTCCAAATTGATCAAAATACTGGCGTAATAACAACAGCCAAAAGTATGACAGCAAGGCAAGAATACTCATTTATTGTCAAGGCAACGGATAGAGGTAATTACCAAGACAACAAGTACTGTCATTGCGCCCTTAAAAGGGCGAATGCCCTTACGTTTGCGGTGTAACTTTGATAGATGCTAGAGAATACTCCCATTTCGAGTTCGCCTTTGCTCAGTCTTAGCCTCGATTGTGTACAAATGTGTTATTTTCTTTTATTAAGGTCCATTGTATAGTAAGGAATGTATGCACTACGCAACAATACAAGTTGATTATAATTCCACAGGTTTTGGTTGAATGGCTGAATATCATATGCACAAACGAGACTAAGACTGAGCAATAGAGAACTGGAAACTGGAGTATTGTCACAAAAATGACTCATTTTTCTTTTGGCTTCTGCGCATGATATAATGTACCTCAATGAACCTTACTCACGCCTCACCCATGACTGAAACAATAGAACGATTTTACCCGCGTAGCCTCGCATTCAAGTGCTTCAGGATGAGGTTACACGTGGCGCCGTTTGATCAAGTTCCATTATCAATCAAATAAACTTTAATGTTCGTACTTCTTTCTAGGAGCGCAAGTGAAAGCAAGTCAAACCACTGTCAAAATATCCGTCTACAGCACGACGTCATATCCGGTTAAATTCCAGGAACCCCAGTACTCGAAATCTTTGTTAGAGTCAGTTACCATTGCCACAGATGTCATACGGGTGCAAGCGACTGGTCCCGCGGGAATCACGTATTCCATAGTCGGTGGCAACCCTGACACGAAGTTCCGCGTGGACAGGGGCACGGGTCAAATTCAAACGAACAGAGAACTCGATTATGAAAGCGAAAAGAGCTATAAGTTAGTAGTCCGTGCCACGTGTAACACCGCCCCTCAGATGGCTACTGATGTGATTGTTACTGTTAGTGTTCAAGACGTGAATGACAATGCACCAAAGTTCTTATTGTATACCAATCCCAAGACTGTTATCATTGACAGTTACACACCTAAAGACACTATCATATTTAAGGTAATCATTGCATTAACTGTCGTTGTTTAATTCTCTTCTGTGCTACAAAGGTTGCGCCTGCAACATGTAAATTGTGTAAGTGAAATTTCAAGTTATGCTTGTTATGAGTCATTGCCAGCCTAAAATGACAGGCAAACACTGCCCGTCATGTGCTATCGACCAGAGAGTATCCCATAATTTGGTACTGTCTATCGGCAGAATGAATGTCACGAATCTCATTGCCAGCCTGCAATGACAGGCAAACACTGCCCGTCATCTGCTCCCAGATTTCTACTGAAAACTTGCCACTGATTAAGCTCGGAAATATTCCACACGAAACTGGAAATGACGCCTATTGATAGCAACCTATTCCTAAGGTCTTTTACAGTTATATGTGATTTTTTTTCTAAAGGCAATAGCAGAAGATGCTGATTCTGGTTCATATGGTACCGTGACGTATTCTATCGACTCTTCCAAAAGCAATCCCTCCAGCAATATACCATTCAGCATTGATGCATCCACAGGCGATATGAAGACTACCACAGTAATCAGGTCAGTACACTAGACTATTACAGTGTCAGATGGGCTTCCTATGTCCAGAGAACCTATAGGACTCAACTCTCAAGTAACACCAAGATCCACTGACAGGACACACATAGCAATGAGCTGAACTTGTATAAAAAATTATATGGTTACAACCTCCAGGTACCATCTAGTTTCCACATACTACCCATGTTTTCCAACTTGCTGTAAACATCGGGCTAATTTTTCGATAAGACTACCACAGACAGCCCAGTAGTAGTATTTCCCAGCACAAAATGGCCACTGAATTGTCGACCCAAACAATATATAACGCTAAAGTATATATTTTTTCGTATAATGGCATAAATGCAATAAAGGATCAAATTGAAGAAAGAAGATACTAAAATAGTTAGCAATTATCTAATATTTGTCGTATTTTTCACGATATATTATGTGCATCGCAGGTATTCAGACCGCTCCAGCTACAGCATTGCTCTAGTAGCAACAGACGGTGGAAGTAAAACAGCTACAATGACATTGACTGTCCAAATATCGGATATTAAAGAGCCGCCGAAGTTCAGACAAAAGAAGTACACGCTGACACCTCGAGAGGACTTGACTGTTGGCTCTGAGGTAAGGAAACATCCAGGAATCTAGCGGTGAATAACTCGCACTTGTTTCAAACGATGCAGAAAACTTTAAACTAAAGTGACTATTGTTTTTAAAACTGAAGGTTGGTAACATTGCTGCCTTATATGGAGATTCAAGCCAACTTCTAAAGTACTCCCTTGTGAAAGGAAATACAGACGACACATTTTGCATCGACAGCAAAGGTGTCCTTTCTGTCGCTAAACCGCTGGACAGAGAAAAAGCGCCATCGTATACTCTGGATACTACAGTTACCCTGGGTGACAAGACAGACTCCACAGTGGTACAGATAGATGTGATAGATGTTAATGATAACGAGCCTGTATTTGAGAAGATTCTATATACAGTCCAAGTATCCGAGAACGAAGGTATGAGAGTCAATTGTTTTCCAACTATGGAACAACCTCTGCATGGCTGATCTAAATCAGGCCACAGATAACTCACAGATTGAACCCTGAAACAACCTCTGTGCTGATCTAAGTCAGGGTATAACTAACTCAAAGATCGAACCCTGAAACAATCTCAAGGCTGATCTAAGTCAGGGCACGGCTAACTCAAAGATCATACCCTGGAGCAATCTCTGTGCTAATCAAAGTCAGGGAATGGCTATCTCACAGATCGAACCCTGAAACAACCTCTGGGCTGATCAAAGACGTCAGGGCACATCTAAATTAGGGCCAGGTGACTCACAGATTGACCCTGAAACAACCTCTGGGCTGATTTGAGTCAGGGCACAGTAAAAAGCTATCAGTTGTTTATATCCTGTATTTTCTTACAGCTGTAGGTAAGGAGCTGGTGAAACTCGTTGCTACTGACAAAGATAGCGGAACAAATGGTCAGATAACGTACTCCCTCGCCCAGCCCGTGGAAGAAAGCGGTATAGCATTATTTAATGTGGATAGCAAGACAGGTGTGATTACACTGAAAAGCACCCTTGACTATGAAGATGTACAAGAGCACGTGCTGTACGTAAAGGCAGAAGATGGAGGATCACCGAAACTTGCGGGTAAGTTTTTTAGATCAAATTATTTCGCTTTTATACTGTCTATTGGGAATTTTCATCTATGTTTAGGCATTTATGCCACTCCATTCTTTTTTCCTATCTTTCCATTCATGTTTTTACTATACTACGGCTTTATAGGTGGACGTAATGTCATAGAGACGTTTTCGTATGACTGTGAAAAGCTCAGTGCCGTAAGCGTGGCGTGACCGTGTCCACGCCCTGTTCATACCATCCGGGTATATGATTGGATGGAGAGTAAATTCTCGCGCAATGTGATTGGTCTGGCGTATCCCATGCCGTTCCACGTCCGTGTTCGTGCCGTTAGCTTTTCACAGTCATAAGAAAACTGATCTAGTGCTTGACATTAGTGCTAGTATAATGTGCTAGTCATTTTAACGATAGCAAAGTTTGTCTTGAGGTTACCTATTGATATCAATGAACCAATTACAGCTCTATTGGCTACTGAAACAAAGAGATCCGCTTTTACTTTAATGCTTGTCAAATTTGAATGAGATATGTATGGGAAAATAGGCTGAATATGATCGACCAAACCAAATTGTATTATCGTTCGCCCACCTACTTTCTTGTCCAATAAATTAAGTATTGTAATAGCTTCTAATCTCTCAATTACGAACTGATTTGAATCTTTCTATTACTTTCAGCAATGGCTAAAGTCGTCATTAAAGTCAAGGACATCAACGATAATTCTCCCCGGTTCTCATCTCAGTTTTTCTTGGCCAAGGTACCAATCAGTGCCAAGGCTGGGGATCACGTGGTCCAGGTGTACGCGGCCGATTCTGACAACGGTGAAAATGGAAGATTGACTTTCTCGATATCACAAGGCAATGAGAATGGGTATTTTAGGATTAACCAGGAGAATGGGTTGGTAACGCTAACGAAGCCTCTCGCATCGGTCCAAGATAGCAAGATCGACTTAACCCTAGAAGTAAAGGATAATGGCAATCCGCTTAGAGATGGGAATGCTACTCTAACGGTGATAGTGGATTTACCCGATGGACCCCCCAGATTTCCTGTTTCACCTTTATATGTCGGTGTCAAAGAAGGAATACTTCCAGGGGGGGTTGTGGCAACGGTAAGAGCAACAACTCTCACTCTTCTAAGTTATGAGATCATCTCAGGCAATGATGACAAATACTTTACAATGGATAGCCTCTCTGGGAAGATCATAGCTGCAAAGGAACTAGACTTTGAAACGAAGAAGCAGTTCATCTTAGATATCGCTGCGAGTGATTCAAAAGGACGAGGAGATAAAGTTACCGTGGTGATCAACTTGATTGACATTAATGATAACGCCCCTAAATTCCCAGGCGAAATGAACAATAAAATTGTGAAAGAAATCGACGGAACGTCTATGTTCGCAAATTACATAGTGACAGAAATACCTGCTTATGATTTAGACTCTGGTGACCGCCTAACATACGAGCTTTCAGCTGCAGGGCAAAAGTACTTTACTATAGATGACGAAGGCAACCTTAGAGCCGTAAACACCATCAAAGACATCTCAGAACCAATCCAATTCGAGATAACGGCACGTGACTCAGCTACGCCACCCCACGTGGTTAAGTCGCCCGTTTCTCTTGTATTCTTGAAAATCGCTCCTGGGAAACAACCCATTCATGCCACAATACCAGAAAATACCAAGGTTGGAACCAAAGTTGCTACTGTCCCAAAATCATTTCCAAATGGCGTCCTGACCATCAATGGTGCCACAAACGTTCCTTTTAGCGTGGATGGAAAAGGAGATATCAAACTAAAGGGGTCGATTGATTTTGAAAAGAAAGTTCAGTATGAATTCACGGTGAGAGAAAAGGAGTCAAGTTCTGCAGGTGCACGGTTCACCGACAGTGCAGTAGAGGTGTCGATAACGGATGTTAATGATAATGACCCGGTTTTTGAAATATCAACAACCTACGGTAGTGTTAATCAAAACTCTAGAGCTGGTGCTCCCGTTCTAAAGATAAGGTCGTCTGATGCAGACAGCGGAACAAGCGGTATGGTTGGGTATCAGCTTCGGAATCGTGGAACACCGTTTGGAATTAATCCATTATCACAAGAACTAGAGGCAAGTGAGACACTTAAAAAATCTAAGTATTCTGTCGACGTGTTTCCGTTTGATTATGGTCACCCAAGGCGAAACAATACTCCAATAACATTTAACATAGACATAGCTGAACAACCACCTTTATTTGTTGGAGCGACTGGAAATATGTATAGGTTTTCTGTGCCTGAAAATAGTATGGCTGGCACACTGATAGGCGCCGTAACAGCGAGAAGCTCTTCGGGTGCACGCATTGCCTATGCAATTGAAAGTGGCAATGTACGAAACACTTTCACAATGCACAGGCTGACGGGAAAGATAAACTTGAATTACGTTCTGGATTACGAGAAACACGACATTTTATATGATCTTAAAGTAAAGGCTAGCGAGATGATTCCAGATGGTCTGTTGAGCTTTATCCAGGTGCAGGTGTCCGTGCTAAATGTTGATGACCATTATCCTAAGTTTAGTCAAACAGTCTACGCTGCAACAGTTCAAGAAACCATTCCCATTGGAAGCTCGGTGTTGAAAGTAACAGCAACTGACTGTGACTGTAGTAAGGACTGTACATGTGTCTTAGGGCAGCTTAAGTACAGCCTGAAGGACACTGAACTCTTTTCTATTGACCCAGACACTGGGGTAATATCTCCTGCGAAATCACTCGACTACGAGTCTTCATCGTGGAACGTTTTCAGGGCAATAGTTTCTGATGCCGGGAATTCGACTAAAAACATGACATCCTTTGTAAACGTATCCTTGACAGGGGTGAACGACAATAGTCCATTCTTCAGGCAAAATGAATATGTGTTTGATATAGCTGAAGGTGCTGTTACAGGGAAGCCCTTGGCGTATGTTACAGCCGTTGACACTGATGGAGATGCGATTAAATATAGCGTTGAAGGGGAAAGCGGTCCGTTTACTATTAATAATACAGAGGGGATAATAACCTTGTCTCAGACATTACCCAAGGTAATTAACAAATGGGAGTATGACTTCGACGTCAAGGCAACAGACGGTCAGGTGGATGCAAAAGTACGAGTCCATATTAATATCATTGATAGCAACGACAACAAACCAGAATTTACGTCATGTGAACAGGTCTCCCTGAAAGAAAACCTACCCCCGGGACAAAGAGTAACCCAAGTGAAGGCAGAAGATAAGGATAAAGGAAAGAATGGAGAAGTCGAGTATTCTCTTGTAATAGGACAGAGCGACTTTAATATCGATAACACTACGGGTATTATAACAACAAAATATAGTCTTGATCGTGAACGACAAAAACGGCATCTCATTGTAGTGCGGGCAGAGGATGGTGGACATGGGGCCAATGAATACGAAAGACTCTCATCATACTGTTTGATACGATTAAAAGTTACAGACGCTAACGATAATTACCCTAATTTTTTGATTCATCGCTACCATGCTAGTATATACCAAAAGTCTCCAGTGGGTACCCCTGTTATTAGGGTTTCTGCGTATGATCAAGACCTTGATGAGAACGCAGTCGTCAGTTATTCATTCTTAACCAAAAATGACAAGTTTGAAGTGGAGAAATCAACGGGGATCATAAAAACCAAGGCAGACCTGACGAGTTTCAGTGGTATCGTCGACTTACAAGTCACTGCTTCTAACACTTTACCAATGGCCATATCGGGTCCAGAGCCCTCAAGTAGGGATCGACAAGCCCGCGTCACGATTGAAGTAGACACAGAAAAACCACCCCAGTTTTCCAAGGGAACGTACGATGTGAGCGTCAAGGAGGATGTTGCTATTGGAACAACTTTAGTACAAATTCAAGCCACATCGTTTTACAATCGAAAAATAACGTACGAGGCAGTCAACGAGAACCCTGGAGCAAAGCAGGAATTTAGTGTGGAGCCCACCACAGGCTACATTGTCACTTCAACTAAGCTAGACTTTGAGTTAAATACGCTTTATGAGCTACAGTTTAGAGCCTCGGAACCAACAGGATCATCGTCGCTTCTTTTCTCTACTTGCTTCGTTAATATTACAGTAATGGACGTTAACGATAACACTCCGACATTTTCAATGGAAAAATACGATGGCCGTGTAATGGAAAATTCCCCGGTAGGAACTGGCGTAGTTAAAGTCGATGCTGAAGACCTTGATTCAGGTTCAGGTGGACGCGTACAATACAAGATAGCCCAAACCGGAGACTACAAATATTTCGAGATTAATAGCAGAAATGGGGTGGTCAGGACTACGGCCGTGTTTGATCGAGAAGTCAAAGACAGATACTATATCGAAGTGACGGCAACCGACCAAGGGAACCCACCATATCATACTGACACATACGTTGACATCAAAATTGTGGATCAAAACGATGAAGCACCATTTTTTTCGGAAAAAGACATGAGTATTTCTGTGAGTGAAGACACGCCCATCGGAAGCTCTCTCTACCAATTAAGCGCCCAAGATAAGGACATTGGTAAAAATGCTTTACTTTATTACTTTCTAAGCGGAGGTAACGAAGACCACACCTTTTCTGTGGAGACTTTCATAAGACCTCAGAATTACGGACAACTTAATTTGGATCGTAAACTAGATTATGAAGCCAGAAGAGAATATACTCTGTATGTGACTGGAGCAGATGGATGGAACAGTGACTATGGAGCTATAAAGATTACGGTGAGTAGTTATTTGAAAAATATATTGATGGTATAAAAGATTTTTTATCATGCAAACATTGAAATCTGGGAATTTTGGTTTCTCCGTGGAAGAAAAACCGGAGAACCTGTTATATATGCCGGAAGACTTTATGAGCAGGAACAGAAAGAATCAACACAAGATACTAACGTACCCTGTTTTAGCACATCCTAAAATAATATCTTGAAGAAAAAAAACGTTTACTTTTTGACCTTCAAAAAATACCCTGAAACGGCTAACTCACAGATGGAACCCTGAAAAACAACTGGGCTGATCTAAGTCAGGGCATGGCTAACCCACAGATGGAACCCTGAATCAACCTCTGGGCTGATCTAAGTCAAGGCAAGGCTAACCCACACTGAGATGGAACCCTGAATCAACCTCTGGGCTGATCCAAGTCAGGGCATGGCTAACTCACAGATCAAACCCTGAAACAACCTTTGGGCTGATCAAAGTCAGGGCATGACTAAATCACAAATCGAACCCTGAAACAACCTCTGGGCTGATCCAAGTCAGGGCATGGCTAACTCACAAATCAAACCCGGAAACAACCTCTGGGCTGATCTAAGTCAGGGCATGGCTAACTCACAAATCGAACCCTAAAGTAACCTCTGGGCTGATCTAAGTCAGGGTATGGCTAACTCACAAATCGAACCCTAAAGTAACCTCTGGGCTGATCTATGTCAGGGCATGGCTAACTCACAAATCACACCCTGAAACAACCTCTGAGCTGATCCAAGTCAGGGCATGGCTAACTCACAAATAAAACCCTGAAACAACCTCTGGGCTGATCAAAGTCAGGACAAGGCTAACCCACAGATTGAACCCTGAAACAACCTCTGGGCTGATCTATGTCAGGGCACGCCTAACTCACAGTTCGAACCCTAAAACAATCTCTGGGCTGATCTATGTCAGGGCACGGCTAACTCTAGGCTGATCTAAGTCAGGGTATGATACGGATAACTCCCTGGTCGAATCGGAATTTAGCTTCTTAGATTTTTGCGGAGGCAGAAAAACTCGAAGGAGAGAGAGACCTAACAAACTGTTTTTGTTACAATTTCAGGTAACTGATGCTAACGACAATTCACCAGTATTTACTCAAATGGTATATGAAGTCTCAATAAACGAAGAATCCCCTCCTGGTAGATCTGTTCTGACAGTACAAGCATTTGACATTGACACTCCGCAAGTTCAAAGCCCCTTGTCTTACGAACTTGACTACACGGGACAGAAATACTTTCGTATAGACTCGTATACCGGAGTTATCTACACCGGGGATACGAAACTGGACCGCGAAAAGACTCAATTTCTACTAATTACTGTGTTTGTGACTGATGGCAAGAACAAGGGAGAAGCTGGAGTAAAGATAACCTTGTTGGATATCAACGATAATGCCCCATTCTTTCCTAGTCCTCCTTACATTGGGTTAGTAAATGAGAATTCACCCTCTGGAACCAACGTTATGATTATACAAGCTGTTGATCAAGATGACCCACAGGCTGGAGGAAATACAATCATTGAGTATTCTCTGGTTGACAACAGCAATAACCAATTCGCCATTGATAAAAATACCGGTGCCATTACGACTCTAGTGAAATTCGACCGCGAGGGGAAGATCAGCAACTACTCGATACTGGTGCGCGCATCAGACAAAGGAACCCCTTCTTTGGAGAGCACAGTTAATGTTACAGTAATCATCTTTGATGTTAATGACCATAAGCCTAAGTTCACTACCAGGTTTTTTTATGGGACCGTTTCTGAGGAAGCTGAGCCTGGACATTTTGTGACACTTTTGACTGCGACAGATGAAGACGACGGATTTAACGCCCAGTTTGAGTTCGTCATCGTAGATGGTAACACGCCTTATGCTTTTTACTTAAATTCTGTTACTGGAGAAATTTTAGTATCAGGACTTCTTGACTATGACACTAAGAGAACGTACAACTTGACTGTCTTGGTTCGAGACAGGGGGATGCCTCCCTTGACAGGTGATGACCCTGCGTATGTTATAATTACAATCACAGATGCTAACAATCACCCCCCGGTTTTTGACCTGAATAATTACTATGTTGAAGTCAAGGAAGATGTGTTCGTGGGTTATCAAGTTGTAGTCGTTAAGGTCAAAGATATTGATCTTAGGAATACTACAAAAATACTGCGGTATGAGATAGTCCAGGGTAACGACGAGGGGTACTTTGGCATCAAGTCCAACACAGTGGTATCATACGAGGCAGCGATCCACAGTAATGCACGTCTAGACCACGAGACAACTTCGCAGTACACTTTACTAGTACAAGTCACTGATGAAGTCGGTCAGTTTGCAACTTGTAAGGTTATTATAAGTATTAAAGATGTCAATGATAATGGTCCAGTCTTTCAGCCATCATACTACGTTGCTACCATAAAAGAGAATCTCGATGCTGAACAGTTTGTTACCACTATTAAAGCCGTCGACCGAGACTCCACTAGCAATGGACTACCATTCACATTCTCGCTTCTCAATACAACTCTCAGCAAGAGATTCGCGATAAAGAATTCCACTGTTACTTCAAGTACTGCACAGATATTCGCATACGGTGTCTTCAACCGCGAAGAAACGGCTTCCTTTTCGCTTATTGTGCGCGGGACAGACAGCGGTAAACCCTCGATGTCCACCACCGCGTTTGTCTACGTCGACGTCCTAGACCAGAACGATAACGAGCCGTTTGATGGAAACACTACAATTATCGTTAATGCTCTTGATGGGAATTTCATAGGTGGGATTATTGGTAAACCATATTATAAGGATGAAGATTTCGACGGTGACGTCAATTCCTACGTCATCACTAGCCAATCACCAGGAAGTTACTTCACGATAAATGCAGCCAATGGAAACATCACAGCTACAAAGAACTTGCCTCTTGGGACATATAAAGTGAGGGCATCGATAACAGAGACCAACACAAGAATCGGTAATACAAAGAACTTCCCTAAAACAGTGTACTCCAATATTGAGGTTTTAGTCCGCAATGTCACAAGGTCAGCGGTGGAATCAAGCGTTACTATACGTCTACTTGACATGCGCAAGATCGGATACTTTGTTGGAGATTACTATCAACAGGTAGAGTGAACCATTTTACTCTTAATTTTCCTCTTTTATAATCGATGTTTTCCTTCCTCGTTATATTAGTGCTTGCCAACTACTTAAAACGGACTCACACATGCGGAGGCGGATCAAGGAGGTGGCATGCCCATTAGTCTAGAAGTAACTCGGTTTATTTTTTTCTAGTCCTGTATCCTAAGAAATTGTGCGTTCTGATTAGCTATATTTATAGGGAGGTGGGTTGCAGCACCTCGACCCACGTAGCATTATCGACAGTATCGTTACCATTGACTGTTGCCCAACCTGTCTTAATTATTTTTAATGTGTTATATTGCTGATAATCCATACTCAAGCGTTATATTTTCATTTTTAGGTCGAAGGGTTGCTTGCGGGTATGTTCTCGGTCCAGAAAAGCAATATTTTCATTTTCAGCACCCAGCAAGTCGTAGCTTCAGTCGCCCCTACTGTAGATGTACAGATTGCTATAATGGACGCTAGAGGAGAATTTCTACAGAAGATGAGCATTATATCAAAGCTAACAGTAAACCAACAAGCCTTCATAAGCATTGGTAAGTACTTAGTCTCCCCCACAGCCGACATTAGTTTTGGTCCCGGTTAGTGGAGAGGGTCCGTGAGGAACTGGGACCGAAACTAACAACGGCTGCGAATGAGACTAGTAACTACAATAAGTAAGGTAGATCTGGAGTTACCATTTGACAAAAGTCCATATGGACTTTTGCTTATGTGAAAAGCCAACAAGCTTGCACCTCGAATGCAAGTTCTCTGGTTTGCATCTAACATTAAGATGGATGAGATCACGATACGATCTCAGATAGGGCATCCTTAATTTCACTGAGCGTCATTTGCTGTCTCGTATGAAATATCAATCAGCTAAATTACAAGTTTTCAATAGACCTCTTGCATTTGACGTCAAAGAACGTCAATTTGGAAGACAAAACAAAATAATTTCAATCTCCTGATTCCGACGTGCTGCAAGAGTTCTATAATCTTTTCGCATGATGGCCAGTGTTTGAGCACCATTCATTTGAAGCAGATAATTAATGAGATGCAAAGACTTTTATCACGTGACTGAAAGCGAGCAATATGTGCGTCAAATATCAAACATAAATTTACATGTTGATTTTTACTACGGCGGAGGCTTAAGCGCAAAAAGCAAGAAATTTCGATTTTTGTGCCTACACGCATTCAAAAATGTCTAACGGAATTCTGTTCTGTTTCACAGGACTAACACTGGGAGCCATAGGCATCGACATGTGCTTGTCTGCAACTTCACAGTCCGGTATTTGCACAACAAAGACCTCAGCTTCAACTTCATATCAGGTAGCCGATGGAGACTACGGCAAGGTTCCTGCCCCGGCATCTTCTCTGGTTGTCGTATCTATAGACGTATCGTTAAAGGCTTATTATATACCGGCCATCCCTGAGACCAAACCATGTGCTCTTCATAACCCTTGCCTTAATGGAGGAACGTGTCATGATGTTCAACCATCAGGTAAGAATTTCTCATGCGCGCCGAAAAATAACCTTTGTTCTTTGTTAACATCAATATGGAAAATAAAGGTAGCGTGGTAATCGCAAGCTAGCCTATCACCTCTGGGGTCTCAGGAACGGACCTGGCATCCCATGTGAGCAGAGTTTGTTGCGAAAAAAGAGAACCTTTGTTCTTTGTTAACATCAATATGGAAAATAAAGGTAGCGTGGTAGTTATAAGCTAGCCTATCACCTCTGGGGTCTCAGGAATGGACCTGGCATCCCATGTGAGCAGAGTTTGATGCTATTTTCATTTGATTCGGATATTTTCTCCAAATTCTCCTGTTATTCCTCCCAAATGATGAAAATCGAAGGGAAGTAGGGCAAAAATCGATTGTTAAACCAAGATGGTCGTCCTAATATAAAGCGAGCTTTTCCAAGCTTTACGAAGAACACGTGCGTCTGCTATGAAGACTTGGAACACCTGCTGAAAACTGTTCGTAATTGTACCTGTACGATTACGAATGAGTTGAGAAAAAGGAAAGCTATGCGGCTGATATCCTTCATTTAACGAATAGCTAAATTTTCTTCCTATTTTACTGTGAAACAAACCTCTATTTATGGGACACCCTTCATTAAAAGGACAGCTAGTTGCATGCCATGACCGGGACGGGTCCGGAAACTATTTTTCCATATTTACTATAAACAGAACTCTATTAAGCGGACACAATGCGAAGTCCAGAAGTTGCGCGCTTAATACAAGTACCACTGTATTTTACAAATGTATGATATTTTAACCCTTCATTGCGACAGGTATTGTGTGTCAATGTAATCACAATCAGCGAGGTCCACTATGCGAAGAAACGACCAGGTCATTCGAGGGTGACTCCTATATACATATAACAACACTAAGAACCTTCGGGTGGAGTATCATCGAATTTGAATTTATCACAAAAGAAGCAAATGGCCTCATGTTCTATCAGGGACCAATGTCAAAAGGTATTAAACAGTTTCCATAGTAACAGGTAGCACGCAAACTATGCTGAAATGAACAGATTACGGCGGTTAACTCGAAAGTTTATACTTCTTTAACCACCATTGCACTTCCAATAAAATATCTATTTCTCATTCATTATTGTTTTCTTCCATCTCTTTTGCATTTTGGATCGGTCTATAGAGACTTTGCACCATCACATGATGGTAGCCATGACAGGAGGCACAAAAAATTGAATCAAATCTAATCTGATTTACATGTGAAAGATCTCAGTTTCCCAGGGGAAATAGACTCTATCGTTGTGACTTCTGTCATGGCTGCCATCACGTGACGGTACAAAGCCTCTATACGTATTGAGAGCTTAACCGAACTGAACCGCCACTCAATAATTAAGTTACCAGATTTTAATCCCCTTATAAGTTTCTGTTTTTTCTTATATTAATATAAATGTCGTTTTAACCTCTATTTACTATATTGCAGTACCTTCGAATGGAACAAGGGACTTCCTGGCCATCCAGTTAGTACAAGGTTACGTAAGAGTGGTTATATCGCTAGGCTTGGCACCAGCCTACCTCAACATGACACGTGGAAAGACTTTGAACGATGGAGAATGGCACCATGTCAAACTACAAAGAGATCTAACGGTAAAATAGATTATTAAGTAAAATATGCATGATGAATTGCGCATGCATATTAAGTAAAGTATGACACTTAAAGGCCGGTTTAGAAGGTACGATTTTTGTCTACAACTATCGTATACAACACGCTCGCGTCTGTCGTAGACGAGTTGTAGGCTTGATTTACACGCTACGACTCGAGTTGTAGGATGGTGCGAGCGTGTTGTATACGATAGTTGTAGGCAAAAATCGCACCGTACCGGCCTTAAGAATGTCCTTGCTGGCCGTGAGGGACGTGGTTCTTAAGGCGATGAAAGCGAGGCTCGCTTGGCTCAAGCAGAAAATGCTAAATGAAGACTGGATCTTTTGATAAAATCTATAAGTCAACTCATTCACATGGCCTCTGTGTCGCTTTCATGGTAATAACGCGACATCAGTTTGTCTTACTACCATAGACACGTTACATCTACTTTCTTTGCCCTTCACAAAAATGTCAATTTTTTAACGCGTTTTTTAATTTTTTTTATAGAAACTAATACTGACAATAGACAACTGTGAAGACGCGCCTTTCAAAGTCCTGGACAACGGAACTATTATAGAAGACAAGAAAGACTGCCAAATCCAAGGACGAACAGTCGGAACTGATATGTGAGTAGTAATGTTAACTGGCACTCTTTGAGTAGTGTTCCCAATAGAAACTATAGACTTTCTCAAAGTATCTTTTGGTATCTTTTGTCGCTGCCTCCTGCCTCGCTGAGACCTCTCACTTCGCCAAAGAAATCCTAATCTTTTCGGCGTAGTCTTGTGGCAAGTCTATAGAAAGGACTGCGACGTTTCAAATTTGAATTTAAAATTTAATAATTTGAATGTTATCACCCTCGACCATAAATTTTAACTGGATAACTTACCTTATTTCAGATACCTTAATGGCCCATGGCCGCTTCAGATAGGAGGTGTCGCAAACCCAAGTCTAAGCTATCCACCCTTGTCCTACACGGGATTCATTGGCTGCATACGTAATGTGATTGATTCAGGCCTGATGTACGACCTCAAAAACCCCTTGGTTGTAGTTAACTCAGTTTTGGGATGTGATCTTGCCACAAAGTGCCCAAACTGTAGTAACAATGGATACTGTGAACCACAGATGAATAGACCCAGCTATTGTGTATGTGATCTTGGTAAAAATGGCACAAACTGCAATGAGGGTAAGAAAGAAAAGAATTATCATTACTGTAACAAATAATAACTCAACCATGATAATGAAAAAACTAGACCTTTTCACCTTGGGCGCAATGTTTTACCATCTCAGGACACGTGTCATTCCCTTGAGTATTGATTCTGTGTACGAGAAACAATTGAGAAGATAAATTAATACGGATACAGCTAGATAAAAAAATTTTCCCCGAAAGTGACATGTGGTCTGAAGCTGGAAAACGTTAGGCCAAGCAACATCAAAAACGGACTGACAAGTTTTATGATAAACAAAACTAGTTTTCGTTCAATGTGAATCTGTGCACGAAGGACATTTAAAGCAGAGCTTAATTCAAATAAATGTACCTTATAGAGATATTTATAGCACAGGTTTTATTTGTTTCAGATACTGACGGACATAACTATTTGGGAAGCAGTTTTACTATGTATATGAGTAGTTGCTGGAGTTCGTCTTCAACTGCATGGTTAACATCGTGGTCGACCACATATTCATCATCATCTTCATCATCTTCATCATCATCGTCGTCGTCGTCGTCATCGTCTTCTTCATCATCATCGTCGTCTTCTTCTTCGTCGTCTTTGTCGTCGTCGTCGTCGTCATCTTCATCATCGTCGTCGTCGTCATCATCATCATCATCGTCTTCCTCCTCCTCCTCATCGCCTAAAAGACGGAAACGTCGAGATGTATTTCCACCAATGTCTGTCGAATCATCTTCTGAAATCTCGTCAGTTTTCTTACGAACTTTGAGATCACAACACGTGAGGAGCAGACAACGTCGTGAAGTACTAGCACCTAAACCAAAGTTGCCTTTAAAGAGCGGGTATCATACAGACATCGCAATGAAAATCCAGGTTCGAAACAATACGTTTAATCACACATTACTATTCGTGGCATCTAACAGTTTGGGATCAGAATTTGCATGGCTAGACGTAAGTATCAAGATCTTCAAAGTTTATTGATATCGTCAGAGCAATCTCTGAGCTGATGAAAGTCAGGGCACGAGGCTAACTCACATATCGAATTTATCTTGTAAAGCCCCGTTTACACTGGCAATTTTTGCGGCGATTTTTGCGGCGATATTTGTGGCAATTTTAGGAAATATCAAATCTTTTGTCTCATCCTTCAAAAGAGACATTGGTCTACGAAAATCTTGGTATCCTGAAAAAAACTTTACAAGTAAATTCTTTACCATTATTCATTATGAACAATATCGCCGCCAAAAAACGCCGCAAAAATCGCTATTGTAAACGGGGCTTAAGGTTTTGCAAGTTTCTATTTTTCAAGGTTATACCTCAGGCTGAGCTGGTTTGGACCTCGAGTCTGTTCTCAGCCTGTCAGTGTAAGTCATTAAATAAAAAACCCGGAGAAGAACCATGGAATCAAGGAAGAGAACTAACTGCCCCAGAAATGAGACTCGAGTGTACTCCCGCACTAGTTGTCCATTGAGCTAAATTCTTCAAAACTGAATCAGTTCTACAAAATATCCACTTTTAAACTTTTCAATATAGGATTATTATTAAGGAGAAGAGAGATATTTGCTTTAACTTTAAGGATTAATAGACGTTCTTTCTTGTTGTTATTGCAGATAAAAGACGGTATAGTACGTTTTATTTACCGCATCGGTAACAAAATGAAGATGGTTCAAATCCCCAACCTAAACCTAACTGGTGGTGTGTCTCACAATCTCTACGTAAAGCGACGAGGCAATGTCGCCTCTATGCAAATAGGCTACATTGGTAAGAACATCGGGACAACAGGCGGTAGCAGTCAGCTTCTTAACCTCGGTGGTGGAAGTGTATTTACCGGGGGGTTACCCCGGGCTACGGCACTTCTCGTCGTCAAGGCGATTGTGGAAAGTGGCGGAAAGGCGATAGTTCGTTTCGCTGATGGCCAAGTGGTAACTTCAGCTTCTGCGAGCATGCTTAGTTCTGGAGCAAGCTTGATCACTGTTGGTCGTGATGGGTCTGTTAGCGTTTCTAAAGCCAGCGGTGGGGAATTTCTACGAATTTATCGACAAAGTGTCCGAGCAGTACGTTCTAAAATCACCAAACATATCATAACTGGTTCAGTTGGTCAGTCAATGAAAACTAGGAGAATCATTTATCGATACTCTTCTTCGGGAAGTATTTCCGGATCCGGTAGTTCCGGTTCCAGTTGCGGCGGAAGTACCGGAGGAAGTTCCAGTTCTGGAAGTAGTGGTGGTTCCAGTTCTGGGGGTAGTGGTAGTTCTAGTTCTGGTGGTAGTGGTGGTTCCAGTGGCAGCTCCGGTTCTGGTGGAAGTTCCGCTTCCGGCGGAAGTGGTAGCTCCAGTGGAAGTTCCGGCGGAAGTTTAATTTCTGGCTCGACAAGTATCAATTCAACTCATCATTTTGCTTTTATAATAAATGGATATGGCGATGAAATCCAAAAATCTATTGCAATTTTACGAAACCAAACAAAAGTAAACGATTCCTTGCCAGTCGAGAAAGACTATGGAGGTGAGCCTTGCGACGTGACTGGTTCAATAACCTTTATAGCTTGGGCGTAATGTTTTACTATTTCAGTCAACAAGTCGTTTCCTAGAGTATTATTTCTTTGTTTAACACATAAATATGTATGCAACTCAAACAAAGGATCTTATTCAGAATGACACGTGGCCTGAAATGGGAAAAGATTGCGCTTAAGCTAAAAGTATATTCAATAAACCTTTTTAGTGATCGGTGGAAAAATCAAAGGTTTTGAAAAGGAATTTATTTTTAGTCACATGGGAATTTTAAAATCGAGAAAAAATCTTTTTTTATACCATGAAGTTGTGATGACAATGTAAAACAAGGTCGATTTTTTCACTTTTGTTGACAGTTTGCACGCGCACACGACTCTGTTTTTCTTCTATCTTGCTGACTTTTCTATGAAAAAGAAATCAGCTTAGATAAGGTTACAAAATAGCATTTCTGGAGCAAAAAAATCTTTACCAAAATCTAACCTCAGAAAACTACCCCCAGCACATACCATGATTCCTTGCGCCAAAATAACTATCGTTATTAAATATAAATAGCTATTGTTGTTCTGCCTTATTTCTCTTTTTAAGGATGCATCAAAGAAACCCGTTACAACGGAATAGCGCTCGATGAAGATAAAAGTGTGTCAAAATTCAGACAGAATATCATTACAGGCTGTGAATGTCAATTAGGTAGTTGCCTTAACAACGGCACGTGCCCATTGAATGCGACCATTCCCATGTGTAAATGTTTACCAGGATGGACCGGCCCGACATGTAACAGAAAAGAGGCATCGAGAAAGAGACCCCCAACACAATTTACCGGTGAGGAGTTAGACTTTGTTTATTCTTAAAGTTACAGTTAAACTAAGTTAAACTTTAAATATTATACTCAATAAGCCTATTCATAGTTTAAGAATCGATTCCACTGCGCATGCGATTTTATCCSGARTTTCTCACCTTTTGTTTAATTAAGAACAAATGAAGGTTTAGACAAAGGAAGGTGAGAAATTCGGGATGAAATCGCATGCGCAGTGGAATCGATTCTTAAACTATGAAAAGGCTTATTCTCTACTTTCACATCCCCATAATGCCTTGCGTCTTTGGGGGGTAAACTGTCCCAAATTGAAAGGTTTCTTAAATGAATTTACACTATACCTGCTTTTATCTGCACAATGCTGATTATTATCAGCTTATTCCAAGTTATTTTTACGTGTACAGATCATGAAGAGTTTTGGTCTTACAAGAAAATGTATTGACTTACGAAAAAAATGTTTAAAATTTACCTTAAACGTCTTCATGCTTCTATCTTTTTCTGTTTTATACTTCATTTTATTTTTGGATACCAAACAAGGTATTTTCAACATTGTCTGATCAGCCTTCAGCAAAATAAGTGGGTTTTTACCCTCTGGTTACCCCCCAAAGACGCAAAGGATTATGGGGATGTGAAAGTTGAGAATGATAATAAAAATAATAAAAATAATAATAATGTAAACATGATATATGCAGACAAATAAAACTTGCCATAATAATAATAATAAATTCATCTGTTTTATTATTGTGGCAGTTATAGTTGGACTGCGACGTTTCGACTGCTACTGCTAAGTTAAACTTTGCTGTTTGTTTGTCATTTCGATACAGATATCTTGGGAATAAGACACTATAAGTTATAAACCGGCATAATAATAATGCTAAAGACAATAATAGGTTGTTATGGTTATAATTTCACGCCGGACAAGTCAGGTCCTCAAGTCTTATACTGAATGTATATACCGTATTTACTCGTTTAAGCGCCGCGGCGCTTGCTAATTTTTTTGGGTTTCTTATGCGCGGTTAATTCGGGGGCGGCGCGGCGTTAATTCGGGGGCGGCGCGACGTTGATTCGGGATTCATACTTTGCAACCAATGATTTAATACAAAGTGAATATAGGCGTTAAAAAAGATCTTTTTTTTTTTGTATGGATAAATGCGGCGCTTATTTGAGGGCGGCGCTGAAACGAGTTAATACGGTAATTCTTTATTTTATATGCACACTATGGAACGTTTCTCACGACCCATTATAATGTTCCAGTAAAAGAATAGCAAATGCGGACCAAAAGAACAATCTACTGTTGGATCGATTGACTGAACCACAACCACTCGTTTTTTAACTAATGCAGTTGCACTTTTTTCTTTCCTTTCACAGAGGATGTAGGAGAAACAATGAATTGGCCTGCCCTCCTGCTGTACCTGTTACTTATTCTCCTAGTTCTCCTCATCTTGACCTTTTATCTTTGCTGCAAAAGACAACCCGCTACCAAGGTTGCTGCAAAGGAAGACGAGCTGCCTATACCGGGTCATGGTACCATACGAGATTACAACGACGTTGATGGCCAAGAGGTCGATAATAATGTTTTTAATATGAAGCACTTGATGAAATACATTTATACCAGTCATAAGCATGAAGATCAAGAGACACTTCACACCCATGAGGGTGGGGTGAGGACGTACCAAGATGAAGGAATACACGGACAAGATAATCATCAGTTTGATATCCATAAAATCATGAAGTACAGGTAATAATGATGATTATAATAGTCCTTCCTTTTAAGAGGATAGCACTTAATAATAGTCAGTGGTTAACAAAACAGCTGTGGGCCTCGTTCCAAGATAAAATTGGAATAGTCCCCTTCACAGTTCCCTGCGCCATCTTGAAAGGTAGCCGAGCATTTGCATCGAAGCAAGACGAACGGTGAGCTTGCAATGATAGAGACCTTTTTTAACACCTTGGACAATTATTCACATGTCTCTATCATTGCAAGCTCACCGTTTGTCTCGCTTCGATGCAAAGGCAAGGTTACCTTTCAAGATGGCGCAGGGAACTGTGAAGGGGACTATTCATAAAAGTTAGTTTTTGTGGAGGGAGAAAAACCGGAGAACTCGGAAAAACACCCTCGAAGCACAGAAGAGAACCGACAAGTAACTCTGCAACTCTCACATATGATTGCTAGTCCAAGGTTCGAACCTAAGACCACAGAGGTAAGGTGACGGTCGGACCACCTGATCTTCCATAAATACTGAATCAGAACTGGCAATAGATAAAAGTTGCTAAAAGTTGCCAGATGATGAGAAGATTATTTCTCCAAGTTCAATCATTCCTTAGAAATTGAAATAACAAAGAAAATAGGTACCATGTTGGTTGACATAATAGAAGAGACTAATAGAAACTCTTTTGTCAAATTTAACCAAGTGATGTCAGTGATGGGGGTTGTAAAACGAGCAACACATCAAACCCGCATGGTAGTAGAGTCGGTGCACAATTCCTGTCAAATTGATCGATATTTTTTCGTGCAGCGTAGATAGCGACTGACTCTCAGTGTTTCTCAAGTCTTTGCAATCCAGTTTATAATAGACTACTTGCATGTGGCATCAAAGCAGCTCAATTTGGATAAATTTGTATGCATCGTCTTGTCTTCTATTGTCGTTCTATTGTTTCTTGAACATGAACGAACTACCCATATTTCTATCATATCTCTCCAACAGCGTCGTACATAAACACGGAACTGCACAGGAAACTTCTTTCCACACGGTTTCATCCAGTGGTGGATCCAGTGGTGGTGCAGTCAACAATGGTTATACGGGGTCTTCAGTCAATCTGACTCCTCATCCGGCCGGACCAGACCCAGATGGAAGTGATCACACTTACGATGAAGTGGACATAAGTTCTCATTACCATGGTAACGGTAGTGGCCACCATTTTGACGATAGTGGCCACTATGGTAACGGTAGTGGGCCTAGTAGTTCTTCATGGCATCATGTTACAGCTACTATTCCGTCACGTGCATATCACGTGAACAGAAATTTTGTTGGATCACGTGATGAGCTTAGGGTGTATAAAGACGAAGGCCCTGAATTTGAACCGGATGATCTCAGTGGCCCTGGTGACGGTGACGTAGGAGATATTCATGACTTTGACGACTCTGACCTTCCAGAGCACGTACACCCGAAACTCCATCAATTACATACTATTGTACACAGAACCGATCACTGATCCAATACACACACACAATACACACTAAATAGATCTAATCACTCTTTTCCCATTTCAGAACACGTGCCATTCCCTTGAGAATTATTGCATTTTTTTTAAACCTATAACGGTTGAGTAGATACCGCCATTAAGAGCCACGAGGCTCAAAGAAAAAAATCATTCACAAGGGAATGACACAAAATTTAATGGGAAAACCGGTAATTTAAAAAATATTACCTGAGAACAATGCCATACATCAAGTCAGTTTGGGCGTAATATACTTATCCCATTGTAAAACAAAGCTCATATTTATAACTTGCGACCAAATAATAATATTAATATATCGCATTAATTGCTATTTTTAAAGCCCTTATTAATCAAACATAAATAGAAATATTTTAAAAAACCACACACCCACACAGCAACCTCTAGCGCTCTGGCTGGTCCCAGGCTCGACACATTTTTCAAAACCTCTTCAGTAACAAATAAGCATAGTTTAATTAGCTGATTTCGTTTCAATGTTCAAAATAACGACACTAAACTACGCTACTATATATAAACCATAGCCATTAGCATTAAACTAATAAAAAATAACCATAATTGGATAAAACAAGGTAAAGTTTTATTCGCATATATGAGAATATTCCGCAATCAGAAGCATATACTATAGCTAATAGTAATAATAATAATAGTATTAATAATAATATTAATATTAATAATATTAGTTTATTTAATCACGTGCCGTCCAAGAGCGTAGAGCTCGTTCAAAATACGAACGTGCAGCTATAGACCTAAAACCCATAGCTACTCGTTAATACTAAGTAGTCGGTTTTTCTGATGTAGTGAACGTGGTGCATTGTGGTCTAGCTTGAGTACAATCATAATCTTTCTTTTGTACCTAAGCTAGACCAGAATGTAAAATAAAAAAGAGGTTACGCAGTCATAATGCAAATTAATATAATTGTATAAATCCTTTAATATGCTTACAATAGAGGTTACCTCTTGAATGGCAGCTCCTTCGCAGCTCTACTTTTAAGTATTGGTCTCAGACCCTCTCGGACACTGGGAGATTATGATCGACACTGTGGGAGCGAAAGGAAATAGTAATCACGTGACCTGATAACACAAGCACTCCATAACTTTAACTAAAGCTGGTGCAATAATGTAATAAAATCACTTACTTTTAAAGTGCAAGCTTTTAAAAAGCAATGGTATTAGGCGCTAAGCAAGTAAAGAATACAAGCCAAATTAGTTATAAACTAAAGTAATACGTAAATAACAAGTAGTAATTAATATAAATTTGTCTTAATTTTCGTTTTCATAGTATTTTTTTCTCTGCAAAAATTGAATTTTTTTGCATCAATCCATTTACTTTTACAGTAATTGTATTGAATAGTGCTATTCCAGCCCCAAAAGTAGGGCCAACATTTTGATCCTGAGACGGCCCTTTGAAAGTAGGACTATTTTGGCACATTTATTTTTTAGCTCTGATTTTGGCCTACCCGTGGGCCAAAACAATACTACTAATAAACCTGTGCCAAAATAATTTATGTGGGGCCAAAATAGCATTTTGTTTCATTTTGACCAAATCCTGGGCCAAAATAAAACTACTATAAAAAAATAAAAAATGGCTCCGTGGGGCCAAATTGGTCTTATTAAATTTTACTACCACTACCAGAATCTCTTGCGCATCTTCTTGAGCATAAATGTTCTTATTATCCTGATGAAGGAATGACAATTGGGATAAGAAAATTCGTGAAGCATTCTGGTAGTGATAGTAGGATGTCGTGATCGTTCAAACACAGGCCAATGAACGGATGACACGCGTATGAATATGAAGCCCGGGCACCCTGTGTATTATTTTCCCATATCAGTTATGATAGCCACCGACCAATGTTTGAAAGGACAAACATACGTCAGAGGTCACTTGACCAGAAACGACCAATGGTAACAGGACAGCAATAAGATTGAAATCATTGCCAAACTATCGAGATGCTACCCCCTCTATCCTAGATCTACCCCTGGTTTAGATCATCAGGATTATGTAAAGGAGATTCTTAGTTATTCTTAGGGCTCGATCACGGTTTGATCATGCAGTGGGTCGATAATGGTTTCCTTATCCTATATCTGCCCCTACTCTAGATCATCAGGATTAATGGTAAAGTAAGCTCGATCATGGTTTGGGGGCTTCAGACGAACCTCCCGATCAACCCCCCCCCCCCCCCCCCCCCCCCCCCCCCATCCCAATCCTAGATCTGCCCCTGGTCTAGATCATCAGGAGTATGACTTAGGGGCTGTAATGTTGATTTTAGTATATATCTTCTATATGTCTGATATATAGTTAAAGCCATGCTCATTATTAATCAATTTGTGGATCTAGTCCACTATGTTAGGAAACCAAAGCCCCTAATGAGTCCTTCATTGATTGTCAGAGTCAGCGTTGCGAGCCCGGCATTGCTGGTTTTCTACTCCTGTATAGCCTCTCTATACCGGCAACTGATATACGGGGATATAGTACCGGCAACTAATATACGGGGTTCCTGATAGTGTCCGTTAACCATCAAAGCGCACGTTCGTCTTTTCGAAATCCCTACCGCTACTGATAATTCTTAAATGAATTTTGACTTCAAAAGTCGTTGTCTCGCTTTACTGATGATATTGTTTGATTTACTCCGTCAACTTTCATCGTTCACTGTGTATACGCGAAGAAAATAGTCGGATCGGTGGGTGTTGAAATTATCACTGATAAAAGACTGATATTGTTTCTAGACCGTTAAAAGATGGGCAAAGATAAAAACTTATAAAACTTTTAATTGTTTTCGGGCAAATTAATGTCAGATTCTGATAACGTTAAGTAAATAAAAACTGATGTGTTAGATGAACATTTCCAAACCAAAATCTTCTCAGGGTAGACGATTTTAATTTCAGAATCTTGTAATGAGAATAAAAACTCGTTAAGAAACTTTATTTGGGAACTTATTTGATTAAAATTACGTAATCTAAAATTTATGTTTGATTTGACGACGGAAGATATTTGTTTGTATATCACTTTGCTCCCATGGCAACGAGTGGACTTGTTCGCTCCAGTCACTATGCTTCAGTCAGTTGGTGAAAGTACATTTTTTTATCTTCTTGAAAATCGTATTTTATAACTTTAGAGACCGTTAAAGAGATGACCGAAGATATAGACCAGTTCATTTAACAATTACACGCCGAAGGCGAAGTGATTATCGGTGGAAAAAAAAGACTTAGCAGTGATTATCGTCTCACAATCACTGGTCGCTCGACCAATCACAGCCCGTGAATCTCTATATTCAAGTCTCAAATTTTACTAAATATATTTAATATAAGAATTAGTAGAAAGATCGCTAAAGCATTGTTATTCAAAATGGCCTCTAGCTGCGGGTACTTTTTTGAAATTTTTATTAACTCGACAGTAAATCCATCTTTATCCTATTTCAAATAATCTGTGATCATGATGATTAAAAATAAACACCGACAATATATATACAACAGGTTTAGATGACAAGAAATAGAATTTTAAAATAAGTCGACTATAAATAGGAAATAGATGACATCACAGATCCTTCAAGACTTTTTTAGATTTTGACATACTAATCTAATAAATTCTATTGTCAAGAGAGTCTAGATTTGTCTTTGATACACACCGCTCGAGTTAACAAATTGACGGCATCAGCTCAATATGTTTTTTACAATAACAAAAACAACAACAAAAACTTCTTGTTTTTAGTTATCTAAACAACCTGTCCAACTGAAACAGCGCGCGCTCGTTGACGTCATATTATCACTGTCCTATTATTGATAATAAAAAAAACAGCGAATCAGCGCGCGAGAAATTTGTATTTTATCGTAAAAAAAGTTAAATGATAACAGATATAACAGTAGCCATTGACGTAATAGAGAAATGACAAATGAGCGAATACAAAAAAAAAAAAAAGAAACCAAAAGAAAAGAAAGAAAAACCCACACTAAGACTGAGGCATGGTCAAGATAGCAGTGACGTAACCGAGAGCTTTTAATTAGTCTAGAGATCAAAGATTATACTTCTTCATTTGTCTCACGATTGTGGCAGCCGGGAGGATCACCCAACTGCCACAATCGTGAGACAAATGAAGAAGTATAATCTTAGATTTATATCCACGATGAATAATCTTTTCCATTTTATAGTAAAGAGATGTTCTAAGTCTTAGCAACAAACGGTGCTGTGGTGCCTATCATATAGCTAATCACTTGGCACAAAATGCAAACACACTGGCTTCTCACTGAACCAATCAAAAAAAGTAGTTGCGCCAAGTTTGCTTATACCAAACATAAGGAAACAAGTACTTAGTGACGTCATAGTAATCAACATGAACCACCTAGCCAATCGCTTGGCGCAAAGCGCAAACACGCTTCTCACTGAACCAATCAAAAATAAGTTGCGCAAAGTTTGCATATACCGAGCACTAGGAAACCAGTGACTTCATAGTAATCAACATGAACCATCTAGCCAATCACAAAGCGCAAACACAGTCTTAATCCCGGGGTCTTAATACTAGGTCTGCATGTAAAGGCCGGTTTAGACGGCACGATTTTCGCCTACAACTATCGTATACAACACGCTCGCGCCATCCTACAACTCGAGTCGTAGAGTGTAAATCAAGCCTACAACTCGCTTACGACCGACGCGAGCGTGTTGTATACGATAGTTGTAGGCGAAACTCGTACCGTCTAAACCAGCCTTAATACACTAAGAGCCTGGTTGTAAGAAGGGTGCATAGTGCTATCCAACGGCATTATCCACCCAGTGAATAAGTCGATGTGGTTATCCAAAACATTTATTCATTTGATAATATTTATCCGTCGGATAGTGCTAGACACCCTTCGCACGACCGGGCCCAGACCTAAATTTGAGACCTAACTAGTGGAAGTGATGAACTATAAATGGATAAAATATAAATGGAAAAACATGAATAAAGCTAGGCACTATTTAAAGGATAAAGTTTGTGAAATTTAAATAAGTGATCGTTACTGATATGTCGTGCCATACTCATGTCACAGAAGAAATAGCGATAACTCATAATCCACTTCTATTGTTTACAAGTATTAACTACAACTTATAATAATGGATTTTAAGCGTTTGGAATGATATCTGTCAAGATTACAAAACCAAATGACAGGGTTTTGAATCCCAGAATGTTTCCGATTCGTCCATTGGCTTAGACTAAAGCCACGTGAGGTACAAAACTACAATATATACTGAAATTCTGGTTGTAGGTAACCTTTAAATTTTATTGATAGACTGAAACAAYCTCTGGGCTGACCAAAGTCAGGGAACGACTAACTCAAAAATCGATTGGAATGTAGCTTCAGTTGTTAGATTTTGCGGATGGAGGAAAACCGGAGAACCCGGAGAAAAATGTTTATACAGTCATACGAGTATGCTGAATATAATATCTGAGCGATGATGCAGTTCTATTGTCTTTCTACCAAAGAAATTCCTGGGGACTTTCAGGATTGATAAAAATCTTGAGCTCTTCCGGAATGTCCTCAAAAAAAACTTCTCCTAAAGACTTCTCGACATTTTGAGATCCTTTAATTAAGTCCTATGGAAACTCGCTTGTCTTTCCCATAGGTCTGAAAATCTTAGGAATTCAACTATCAGTCGAAACTTGAATTAGTTATTCAGCTGTTCTGATACAACTGTCATTCTGGAGTGTCATTCTGGCGCGTAAAGGATAAATGCGACAGGGGACGGGGGATAGTGCTTGCATGCCTTCATGCACTATAAAGGATCTTCCTCTGATTGCACTGATTGCACATGGAATGCACTTCTGTACCCGATTGCAAGTGCACGAGAAAGGAAAGAAAGTTTCCATATCGCAACTCGGGCAAAATTCTTCATTTATGAAGAACACAGTGCCTATTATAGTGTGACATCAGATAACGTAATTCGGCCAGTTAGGGCGATCTTTGGCTATCCAGCCCGTACTGCGGAAACTTTGTTATAGTAACCGGCATCCTCCCGCCTGACTCCAATCAAGTTGTACTTCACTAGACGAATAGTTCTGCCTACGGCTTATTGATGTAAGATACCGCTACTCAGCTCATCTATTCTTGCCAAATAATATGCGTACACTTTGATGGTGGCGGGAGTTCGGTTTTGATTAACTTCGTCGTCTGTGCTTCCTCTCGAATTCTTCTTCAAGCCCATGAGTTAATTTTGTCCGTGCAGTATACAAGATTGGAGTACTAGACAATTCAAGTGAGTAGACATGCTTTTAAACACACACATGATGATATCAGGTTAGTTTGAATATGGCTAAAACGATGGCTAATGTATCACTTGCCAAACAGAGCAAATGACTTGAACTGTGAAGCCACCGAAGATCTACTGTCTAGCTCAAGCTTTTAAGCATTAAAATGCTCATAACATAACATAACAGACCATACTATAACAAAATTGGTAAAAAGCTTCCAAAAAGCTTTGGCAAAAACTGTCTGATGAGATTTTGTTTAAAGGGTGAATTCTCTTTCTCTTCCATGACATCCAAAGTAACTAGGTTGCTGAAGTTACATCATATCATAGTTTTAATAGCGGAGTCCCCACTCGTTTTGTAACCGTTTTGATCGGTAAAAAGTAGATTAATATTGAACTGAGCTGATCAAATTTTTTTACAGACACTAAATCCATGTCTGGTTCCTTGAGCTTTTTACATTTCAATAGAGCAACACTGACCTTCCTTGTGCTAATACAACACCCTTGCAATAATCGCCATTTAATTTGATGTTAATCTCCTTAAGCCTCTTAAATGTGAGCAAAGTTTCTTTAACATGTCATAGGAAAATGAAAGAGAAACGTGTAAACAAGCAGCATATGCGGGCGTTTCTAAGTAACGGTCAAGACTTAAACCGCCGCGTCGGAGGACACTATAAATGACAGTGGCTAAAATATAATTCTATATGAACCGTTTCAAGTACAGACAATGTAATTTTGTAGCTTGGAGACGCTAGATACAAATTCTCAAGAGCATCATTAGGAAGATAAACTTGCCGTTGTACATAATAACAACGGGAACAATTCATATTCCACTATGATCATATTCAGTGTGCTTCAATTAGGTAATTGTGGAAAGCTTAACGCAAGGCACTATTAAAGCACACGATCCCTACAAAGTGAATACATTACCCATTATGAGAACTGATATGAACGGCATCTTTGATTTCTTCGTAAATTGTTGTCGTATTATGAATCAAATCGATCAATTTTAGCTCAAGTTATCCATTTTTTTGATTGCAAAATGTACATAAAAATGTAATCCTCAGAAAACCAGATCGCGTGCAGCTATCGACTATCGTGTAGTTGCCATGGAAATAGTTTTGCTCTCTTCGTCATTTGGAAAAGCAAAAAGTCCAAAGATTGATTGATAATGCTGTCAGTGTAAATTTGGCGTTGGGGTTATCCGCCACAATACAAACCCCCGAAGAAAGAGGCATTTTTTATCAAACGGACTGATAGACATAGAGTTTTGGTTACAGAGGAAACGGTCGTGTCGTGAAACGGTTTCAAAAATAGCGTGTAAGACGAACACATTACAGCAAAAGGTGCCCGAGAAAACTAAGTGGTACAAAAGAGGAAACACTACAAAGGGGTTGACAACTTTTGACGGGTAAGAACTTGATATTAGCCTAGAATCTTGATTTAAATCCGTCTTTAATATCACGACAACTTTACTTCTGTCTGAGTCCTACCTGTATAAAATAAGCAGGAACAGAACCCATTTGAAGGAGCATAAAAGGAAGTATAAAAATCTTGGGAAATAGGACTTCGTTTTATTAATTTTTCAGTGGAAGCTTTCATGTACACGCACCAAAATGTTACATTATTTTTTCCCCAAATTTGTAATGACTCATGTCAACGAAGCATTGACTATTCCGATTTTTATACTCATAGTAAAGTGCAAGAATTTAAGGCAGATCCAATTATTGCATATTGCTGTTTTTGACACCGAGGACTTTCTGGCTTCCTGTTTAGTCATGCTTTCTTTCTTTTGAAAGCCACCATGCTGTGGTATCAGAAACAATAACGGAAAGATAAAGTTCCTTTTCGCATAGAAAGCGTTTAAAGTTAAGCGTTTTAGTCTTTTCTGCCCTGATTTGATTGCCAATGGCAACCTGGACCAAAGCGTGACCGGATTGTCTTGGGACATAAGACAGCAGAACAGATCGTAAAACTATCAAGTTAGTAGGCATAAGGCCTTAATTTATATACACACAGACTTATATAACTGCTTAACTGCTGTATAAAGCTTAACTATAAAATTGCCGAGCGTTTCGACTGATTTGTTTGGAGACGGTATTACATTGAACATTATTGACAAGGTTAAATTGTTTCACATTTTCTTACACTCTTCAACGTCCAGACCGTTGGTACTGCAGTATATAATCAGAATCAGTTATTTTGTGTTCCTTTCGATAACTTTCTATTATCCAATAGCCTAACCAACGATTTGTCTCGTGACAAGTGAAAAGTGATACACAATTAATTTAAAGAGGAAGGAACACATTTGACTCAAACATTTTAGAGTGATGCCTGCGATAATTAACCCCACCTTTACCGGCTAAGTTCCGCGGTAATTTCCAAACAGCTCAACATTGAACTATTCTTGCATCACCTTTCACCAGTATATCTGCTGTTTATTTTTGATATAACAGCACTTCTCTAGCTCTCTCAATACTAATTCCGTTCAAGCATCTCTTACTTCTAAAAGGTATGCCGGTAAGGTCCGCAAAGATATTTTACTGAAAACGCACCCGCCAATGTCCATTTTTGTCGATAAATGATTGCTTCAATTTCGCACAATTTGCCAACCGGCGCATTTGACTAATTTTACTATTCAACACTAAGTGTAGCTAAGCTCAAGACCTGATTGTTTTTTGTACTTACCTTTTGTCATTTTTGATTCACTTTGGAGCCATGGATTGGTTTTTTCTTGGTGGTAGCTCGTGACAGATGAGATCAGGAAGTGACGATCAGGAGTGCTCTCATCTTCTTTTTTTTTCTGGCCGATGAAATGTAAATTAATATCCAATTTGCGTCAGATATTCAATTATATCTAAAGCGTGCGTTGAATAAAGCCCTCAAACGTGATAATGTGCACTTCTGACGAGTACTGGAAAAAATAGAAATAAACAAAAATCGTGAAATCACTAAAAGAAAGGAAGGAAAGAGAATACAAATAAGGTAGTTTCTTAAAACCAAATTTATAAAAATACTGCGAGACAACAACAACGAAAAAAGAAAAAAAATTTGAACGAAAACTGAATACAAAGAAAAACATCAGCGACCAAGATCAAAACCAGGCATTATTCAACTGGATATGACTTTCTTTTCCCATACAAACCATATGAAAACACTTTGTTTAATGATCACATTTAACAGGCAATATTTTTATCGCGTTCAGCAACAATACTGAATCTCTGACCGCCAAAGGGTCACGTGCTATCAGTCGAGGATTGAAGTCAGTATACTTCCGTCATCTTCACAAAGACCCTCAACTCATCATTCTTAAGATGGCAGCCTATTATTCTCCAAAATGTCTAAACTCTTTGTTTTTACTGTGACGTGGTTTAGAAATGTCACTTTAATCCTAAGAGAGGTCTCTTTCTCCTGATCTAATTCAGTGTACATTCGTGATGTTTTTACCTCAGATCCTGGTTGCATCGCCATGGAATAAACGAGGACAAACCGGTAACATTGGAATCGATGCGAGGAAACCATAAACCTGACAAATCGGCTCTATCGTGTGAATTGATTCCTCCTATATGAAGACAAGAGGTCAGGAATGAGCATGTATGATTTTATCACCGGTTGTTAAACTAGTACGCATACGCCTTGATTGCCTTGACTAGTTACTTTAGCTGGCGAAAATCAGCTCTGATGAATAGATTTTAGCCTGTAATAAACGTTTTTAATATTTCAACAATAACATTATTTTAGGTATCCGATCTAAATCGGGTGATAAGTATCGCAGTAATATGTCAGTTTGTCTAGCAAAAGAATTCAATGCACAAACAAAAATATGATCGCATTTTGGACTCTTTAAAACAGGAACTAACATGTTCTTCGACTGCTAACAGTATAGTTTAAGCATTAAGTGACATTACTTTAATCTAATGTCATTCCACAAAAGCTTTAGCCTTTGGGAACTACATTTAGATGGAATTTGGGACCATTAGTTTAGTAACCTAGCTAATGTAAATAAACTGGCTGTTGGTTACGATAATCAAATGCGAATCATTAACTCCTTTGCAGGGTTCCCTGGGATGAGCAATGGTTGACAAGTTAACATAGCCGCGCGGGGAACTCTGGGATAGCCTGATGCGACGTCTGAGCCATCAGAATGCAAATAGCAGTTTGGAGGTTTCACAAACTTTGTCGGGATCCTCGGGAAGTTCATCCAGGAGTAACAGAAAAGCAAATACAAACTGGCGAGTCTATCCATCGGACTTTGTACCCCGCGATCGTAACATGAATGGCCATTTAAAGCCTTCCTCAACAAAATCTACGAACTCTTTGGATCCGAAGAACTTAGCTGCTGCTGCCACTTTACTTGGAAGTGTGGGGTCACTAGCGGCTGCTGAGACAACAGAAAGAGTGGGGAATGGCGGCATTACAGCCGTGGAGGAAGATATATATGCTGGACATGATTTCCCCTTCGAGAACCTGGTCTTCGAAGGAGGAGGGAATAAAGGGATGGCATATGTTGGTGTTCTACAGGTAACTAGTACTATCAAAACACTGTCATTAGTAGTTCTCTATATGTAACTTCCGTGACTTCTTTTTGGTTCTTTATCGCCACTCTCATAAATCACTCAATCCTATTTATCATTCAGCATGGTCGTTTAGAAAAACCATGGGAATTTTAGGACTAATTTATGAACGCAATTTGAGTAATTTATATAGTTTTTTGTTATGGTAATGTAATTATTACCTTAAGGAATGTATTGTATAATCATTTGTTATTGTATATGTAATCGTTTATGGCAGAATAAAATATGTCTTAGCCGTAAAGTGAGGCCACGAGTGTTATGCATGTAAGTAGCCAGACAATTTGAATCATAAAATTTATTTACGAAGCGAAACGAGCCAAGTTACTAAAAAATTCGTCACTGTTAATGACGTCTTTGGTCAGGTCTCTGTCGTAACTTATATGAATGCCTATCGCATAACGCTAACGAACTCATTAACTACTTGGCGACTGATGAATGAGTACACATCACCACTTATCACTCTATTTAAATGCACAAAAAATACCATATCAATATACACATTAACCTATAATATTGATATATTCTCGTTCTATATCCTGGGATACTTCTTAATTAGTTTTCCCGTTTTGTACGGCCATAAAAAGACATTTTTTAGTGTTGATAATCATATGATAGAAATTGATATATCTCAGTATGATTATGTGCTCATTAATCTTTACGATTTAGAGGTGCTATAACCTTTTGTTTTAAAGACTGTGCAATATTGTTTCCTTGGGGTCATTTTGATCACTCTTGGAAGAAAAGACACTATGATTATTAGGTCGTCGGAAGTATGCCTTTACAAACAATAACAAAAGAAAAAATTAAAAGTAAAACTATTAGCCATAACGAAAGGAAAAAGGATAATTTTAAAAAAAWAATTAGAATTTCTGGTTAATTAATCTTTTGAGATACTGGATAAAACTATTAGAGCATACCTTGAGCTTTCGACTTTACTGGAGTCTTTATCACAATGAATACGTGAGTAATTGTTACCTGAGCAGATGAATTTTCAACAACTTTCTTAAAACATCTTTTTTCCAAATCTTGGAAATTTTTTTGAAAATCTTCAATGGTTAAAGTATACCTTCAGTATTTTATTTTGATCATTTCATAAGCAATATTAAAATGGAGCTCTTTTTAAATCGACTAAAAACAGCAGAGTCAATATTGAGTCTTTGACTGAATAATTTTTATAAAGGGTAATAACCAATATTGTTATATTCGTCATAGACAAACAGGTGTGGTGTTAAAAGGCTTAGTGTTTGAGTGGCACTTAATAATGATTAATAACTTTTCTACCAAAGTTCTGATGTAGCTAACAATTTGGTGCAGTTAAGTACATATGCAAGATCAATTTGTGATATATTTTGCTTACGTTGCTATGCATTTAAAAAAAATTTTTCAAACATCCTAAGACATGAAACAAAATTTTACACAATTTGTTTCACTAGTTATCAAGTTATTATCATAATTTAAACAATGATTATTTACAATACATATTCTTCTTTTATTCTGATATTTATTTTAAAGATGAAAAACAATATTTCAATCTCCTTTGTGGCCTTGAGTGAACTTGACATTATGAATATATTATTTGCACTTCGCATGAAATTAGGAATTGGCTGAGGGCTCTCGGCCAATCAGAATCGAGATAATGGGTAAAATGTATAATTAGGCACAACTTCAGATACACGGCCTAATGATATGCACACATTAATTTCCTATTGTTCTTCTATTGTTATTGTATTATTTTCGAAAGAATTGCTTCATACTAAAACAAAGTGCATGGCCGAGTATTCTGAAGTTGCTCCTATAAATACTTTATATTATTTTCTTTAGATATTGGAGTCAGCTGGAGTAATGAAAAAAATCAGACGTGTAGCTGGTGCGAGTGCTGGTGCAATAATTGCTGCTTTGATTGCACTTGGGTTTGACTCCCAAGAACTGAAAGAATTTCTAGAACAGGATCTACGAAAGATTTTGGTTGGTAAGTCAGCTAAATGAAAAACACAATCTATGAGTTTATTATTATTTTTTCTTTTCCTAAGCTTTGAAAACTAATTCGTTAGTCTAGGAAATGAGATTTTGTACATAGTTGGTGATTGTATGTGAGAATATTTTTTATAAGGCTCATAAGTGTTACTTTATCTCTGAAAAAGTCATCCAATTTGTATTATAAATTATTTATTAGTATTATTTAATAAAGGTTGTGAATTATTCATTAGTTAATAAGTTATTTAAGTTATTGTATCTTATTTTTTAAGGGCACAATGCTGGGAAGTGGATTGGGTGCCTAGCAACTCCCTTTGAAGTTTTAAAAAAAATAATAAAGAGTAATTTAAAATCTAAAGGGGAAGCTATAAACCCCCTTCCCTTGAAATCATCCTGGATCCAACACTTTTCATTATGATAAAACTACATGTTATTGTAGTAGTCATGCTAAGATATTACAAAATTTGATAAACGTTTTCCTTGCATAAAAATAGAATCCAAAGAAGGAAAATTTTTTATGCTTTCACATACAGTACATGTACATAAGATGTTATTATCATTTTTATTACTATCCATATCATATCAATTGAAACTCGTTAATAAAAAGGATATCAAGCTCTTAACATGTAATAACGATCTATATATTTCTTTCTATTTAGATCACAACTGTGGATACTGTAGCCTACTGCCTAATCTTCTAAAGGGGTTTGGATGGAATCCAGGCAAAAAATTATTAAAATGGTTTGGGGAACAGATAAAGGAGAGAGCAGGAGATGCTGATGTGACATTTAGAGAGGTAATCTATGAAAATGATTTCATATAGACCAAATTCAAACCTCGCACTGATGTGAGGCTTAAGTTGTGAACAAAGGGATCTGGCATGACTCAAAGTAATCTGGCGTGATTCAAAAGTCACGAATCACACCAGATTCCTTTCTTCACAACTTAAGCCTCACATCGGTGTGAATTTGGTCTATTCATCACTCAGTCCAGAACAACAGTTATTCAAATTGATAGAGATAGAACAGTACCAATGAAGTTCAAACATGCTCACAGGAATGAGCAGAAATGATTTTTTTTCCTACTTTAATATCGACCTTTATCACAGGCAGCCATGTTGACTGGAAAAATATAACCCTCACATGGCCTCACATTCAAGTGCTTCAGGATGAGGTTATGCATGGTTAAACAAAGGTTTTTATTCTCATAGGAATAAACATGGCAGCTCATGATAAAGGTCCATGGGCCTGGAGGCTGGAACCTGATCTTATTTTTGGTCTTGGTTGAATCTAAAAGTGAATTTTTTTGATTTTATTGGTTTAGGTTTTAGAAAGATTTGGGAAGGAGTTGTGTATAGTTGTAACAAATCTAAACCAGATGTCAGTGGAGTATTTCCACCCTAAAACCACACCTAACACTCCGATTAGAAAGGCCATAAGGATGTCTGTTGCGTTACCTGGTAAATATCTGGACATTGTTATTGTTTAGCTCTGTGAAATTTTCTATATTTTTTGAGGGGAAATAAAGTTGTCTATGTTATTTCTAATATTTAAAATACTATTAACATTCATTGAAATGTATTTGTTAGTACTTATTATAAGTGGATTCAATATAACCCTCTGAGAGTCATGTCAAAATGTTTGTTACCTTCTCAAACAATATTTGTCATGTTTTTGTGACAAGAAAATTTATGGAAACACTTAAACCAGCTGATCTGAAATAGTGACGTAGAAATGATGTCTTTGCAAAACTTAGGTGTCTTGACGGCTGCGAAAATTGATAAGCGAAAAATGTAATGCCCACCATTGAAATAAAATTATAAACTCATGAATTATTAATGAGTCCCGCGAGAACCCAACGGAGGCAGATTTTTTAATCTGCTTATACACTTTTAAGTAAAAGCACTATACACTTATATAGCATACACTTAACATATATATCTTTACCAAGTGACAAAAACACATTTCATAAATTCATGAATTATTGTTTCTCTGTTATCAAGTACATATTCATAGCAGCATTATTTAGGGGACCTAGACCTAGTGACACCTCAGTTTTGCAAATTTTCTTGATTCTGATTGGCTAACATTTTTGTCAGATCAACTGGAAGTACTATGTATAATTATTTTGTGTAATGATATTAACCATCATACATAGTTTTATAACTTATATCTACATATATTTTACAAGTTTTAATTATTATTTAATATTATTTATTATTAATTGAGTTTTATCTTGTACTATTTTTCACCAAGGTGTTTTTCAGTGTGTCCGTGAAATAAATAATGATTATGAAGATGTATACGTTGATGGTGGACTTTTGTGTAATTATCCCATTCATGCTTTTGATGGTAGGTTTTTAAGCCATTGAAAAGATCTTAGAAAACTCATTAATAATTCATGAAGGAAACACAATAGAAATCAGGACYATGAAGGAGGTTTTATATCTGATATAGATTCGTCTTCATTTGCATAAACTTTAACTTGGATTTTCYCTATCAAACTTGGTTCATTTYGTAAAGAATTCTGTACGATATGAGAATATACATCATGAGTTTTCTAAGCCATTTAATAAACTCGCAGATCATGTTTTATCGGGTCTAAAACCACTCGGCTACGCCTCGTGTTTCATACCCGATAAAACACTCCCTGCTCATTTATTAAACATTACTTATAGTAACATTTTTTCCATTATATAAATCTTCTGATATAATACTGCAATTTACTTCACTTTGTTGTATTGCCAGCACAGAATGAAATTGCAGCTTGCATCATGCCTATCTTATTAACATTTTTAACCAATCAGATTGCAGGATTTGTGAGTGATTATGATAACTAATTCCATTTGACAAATGAAATAGTTTCACTAATATTTGTACGAATCAGTGGAACCAGTAATTCTGACATTTTCTTTTGTTTTCATACAACCATAAAGCAATGGCTATATTACTTCGTAAAGCTTATTTGTGCTAGATGTAAGAGAATAAATAAAAAAATGAAATATATAAACTTAGTATAAGCTTGTATATTTTTTTACCTTATTCGTCCAAGGTTGGTGGCTGTCAATGGATCCTAAACACACTTTCTTCAAGAAATTACAACCACTAGAAGATTTTGCAAGACTTTTTGAAAAGTCTGAACGTTTTGGAGAATGGAATCATAAAACATTAGGCATAGTATTGGTGAGTAAAAGTTAATAATCTATTTGTTTTGTCGAAAAAATATTTTTCAAAATGGTAGAAGAGGAGTTGCATTGTGGTTAATCTATCACGCTTTTTCATTGGTTCATTGTGGTTGATACCTACAGTAGATATAACACATGTTTTCATTGGCTTTTCGTTGCCAGGCGCGTTAAAATTTTCGCGGGCTTTCTCAACTCCACGTGACAACACGTGTAACCAGCAGTTCTTCGAAAGTAAAGGAGTACTTTACAAACAACATTAATATAAAAGATTGAAAAAGAAAGAAAAATGTAATATAATAGTTATTAGAATTAAGAAATGAGAAACATGAACATGAGCAGTGTTTCTATGAAAATCTTCAATCGATTTTACCAAAAAATGAAGTGCCCATTAAATTCCATGAAAGCCGACTAAAAAAATTCGGCTTTTTTGATGCTGTCCATAGCCGAGTGTTTCTCTTTCTTCTCAAGTGCTCTACTAGAGCTCCCAGAGTGTTTATATTATAGTACAGAGACATAATAAGCCGTTTTATAATGCTTTTATAAAATATTTTTGCGCGAGCGTGTCTCTGTTCTCTGGTATAAACACCGTAGCCAGCCAATCAGCGCGCGCGTTAAATCTCAAATATCTTATAATTATATATATATATATTATACTTATAATACAATTGAAAGAAACCCTTCGATAATGGGAAATAGAACAGTTATCTGCGTTCAATTTGATGTCATTATTTTTATTTTTTATGCAGTACTCTCACACAGAAACTGAATTAATGAAGACATTGCTAACAGAGCGAGAAGGAAACCATCCCCCAGATGCTCCGAACACAAAACTCGCAAGGTAAGTCTTTTCCTTTTTTAAAAAAAATAGTAAAAAAATCAATAGTCATAATTTAAACTAGTGAATTCTCACTTTCTTAATATTATTGTCTTATACGCACTATGTGTATTTTAGCCTTTTAAAACTAGTTTCGTTGTTACAACCTCTTCAGTTTGGCTAGAACAGTAACGATTCGTTGTTTACATTCGTCAACCTCTTGCGCGTGAACAACAAAACAAAACATCTCAATTCCATCCTCGCACACACCACGCTCGATCTATTTTTCAATTACAGCCTGTGACAATTGAAAAGAGTTCCACTCAGTCTTGTTATTGATGTATCCTTCCTTTTTGATCCGTCTCAACATTGCATCATTATGGTAAACCCCAGTTACGTTCATAACGAAATCTGGGATTATTCCTTCATGATCCTCTCTAGCATGTCTCTCTAACACAGATTGTCCATCATACCCCAGTCATTAACTCCTATAAGCCATAAGCACACAAGTTCATAGCCGGGAAACATAAGTGTCAGGTCTTCAGCTTGATCAAATTAAGCATTTTTAAAAAGGAATTTCCGATTCAAATTTCTGGCTAAAATAAGGCGCGTTTTTCACGAATTTGCCGCCTCTGTTTCAAAGCCAAGCCGCTTTCCGCGGAAAATGGTGATGATGATGTCTTTTTTTCGGAAAGATTAGCTCATTTTGGTTCAGTCACCTGTAGAGGAATCAGAAATTGGAACATTCTTTCGCTGTTCGTTATTATTTTACTTTCAATAACAAAATTACTGGAAAACCATTAAGGAAACAGGGAAGAAGAGAGAAATAGTTGCATCCAAGTCGTGCAGCCTTTTATTTGCGTTTAACCAGTTTTGAGATATGACTTCTGAAGTTCTTGCTCTGAAGTGAATACACGATTGGATTCAAACTTGAATTCGCCATAGCAAGAAAATTTGTAATCTCAGACCTCAGGTAGTCGTACTTTTGGATGCAATTAAAACTCGATAGCAGGTCAACGACAAACCAAGGCAGCCAGCAAATATTCAAAGCAATGATGATGGTTCCAATTACCTTGGTTAACTTACGTCGGGAGGCAATAATGGCCTTATTCGTCGATCGGATACTTTTGTTTTGACCGCTCCATAGATGCCTGAAACAAATTGAAATTGAAGTCTAAAACTTGAAAATAGTCTCTTAAACTACTGGAAATGAAATGGTCTCTCGATTTTTTTCATAACTAGAAGGGAACGTTTCTGAGCTCCCACTTGCTGCAAGCGAAAGGTGTTCTTTGCACTTTTGGAAACTTTTATGCTCAATTACCCAAGTTGACAAATTACATTATAATGGACGAACCTCAGATCGAAAAGACCCTGAATAGTGGAGTTAATGTCATTCTCCATCGGTAAAATTTTGGGGGTTAGGAAGCCATTATTAGGGTTCGAAATATGCCCCATGCGAGAACATAGCAATGCAAACATGTGTACTACGATAATGTTTCCAACTATTGATAACCAAAGTTATTGTGAAGTTACTTACCTGAAGGTCATTCCATATAAAACGCCGATGACCAACATCGGAAGAACGTACATCAAAGCGAACAAAATGATTTTATACTCGTTGGGAAAGTTATCCACGGTACTGAGGGCATCCCAGCATGCAACTCTCCTATCTTCGCTGTAATACTTGCCACGAAAGAACGCCAGCGAAGGCAGAGCCAGTGCAATAGACGTTATCCATATTAATGGGATGATAACCTTGAGTTTTCCAGTTGAGATTTTACTACGATGGTAAAGAGGCTTTACAATGGCAATGTATCTATCGACGGCTAGGACAGTGATGGTGTAGACCGAGACTGCACCGCCTATGTATACCACCTTGCTCATGAACGTACATAACCTATAGCGTTCCTGGTTGCCTACGATAGATACTAACAAATGTATTGATCCTGACATCCCCAAGACCAGGTCTCCAATTGCCATGTTTACCAGCAAATACGATGTGAAGTTTTGGAGGCATTTTGATCGAGCGACGACAATACACACCAGTGAATTTCCAAGAAGATTAGTTAAGAACATTATGCCATGCAAACCAAGAAACGTATTGGTTATTGCTTGGTTTTCCATTTGGATCAGTTTCAAGGTGTATGTCACTCAGTGTTTTACAGCTGTAGCGAAATCTACTTACTTGTTTATCATTAATTCAATTTAAGCTATGACGCAAGTATTTATTAAAACTTAAACTATTCCTACGTTCACAAATCAAACAGCTTGGTAACTGGAAGGTGCTGGATTATAAATGAGGGCGCTCCATAATGCTAATAGAATTTGCCATTCTAGTAATCTTAATGTGCCAGTCATTTTGATAAAGTTTTTGTCCCTTTGCTTTGTTTTCAACCAAAACAATTTAGCGTACGCCAATCTTAGTGCAATGTCAGTCTCCGACTCCCCTAGGGTCACTTTTCTCGCTATTACTATACGACAGGTGTTTCAAGACGATATCATTATTAATTACCAATCAATCGACCAAAACAATTTTTATCATCGTACGCCAACATAGGCGCAATGTTCTCTGATGTAGGTTCCCTTCTTTCGCTTCTACTTTACAACAGGTTGACACGACGATATAATTAGTAATAACCAATCTTTCTGATACACCTAAATGCAGGAACGTTGTCATAAAAATAAATAACAAAATGACTAATGGGAATCACTTAAGCAAAACGTTAGTAAAAATTTCACCGTTTTTGAGGATAAACTGACATTTTTGCTATTACTTTGTAAGCATATATAAAAACAATTATTTCCATCAATATAGGGAGCTTTAGAATCAAAATATTAAAAAAATATTTCTCATTAATTCCTATAAATTATTTTCTATTTTTATATAACGTTCTTGCAATTAGTTGCATATTTGTAATTGAAAAGCATTGTTTTGGCCGACGATTCGTTGGCCAGGTGCATCGTTAATTAGTACCAAGAATAGTAGAAAACAAATATAACCGAAACAAGAGTGATAAAATATAATTTATAATTTATAATCAAGAAACATCAATTCACAAAATATATACAAAGAAAAATTAAATATAGAAAAGCAATGGGCTTTATACACTTTATCCACTGATTTACTGTTATTCTCTGAAAAGTTAAACCTAAAGAAAATTATAATCTTTTTCTCAATATATTCACATATAAATCTTGTTTTTTATTATCGTATTATAAAGTGAAGGATAATTACAGTTCAACAACGAACTGCTTCGAAGATATTGCGACCATCTTGAATCGGGGGCAAAACGAAACAAAGATGGCGAACAATATGTAGATTTTCGTTTATTTGTCTTTCTTTTTTCATGAGTAAAGGTGATCGATGTGCCGTCTTTGGCTGTAATGACGACACGTCGGGAGATATAAAGAAAAAAATGTATCATTAAGCGTATAAGCTCAATGTTTAACCACTGGACGCCCCACAATGCATTGTGAGTCAAGATGGCCGTCGTATCCTTAAAGTCTTTTGGATATGATAAACTATAATTGTTCGCCATAAAACGATAAAGCGATTTTTTTTCCAGTATTGTGATGTTTTGCTGTTAAAATACAGGATTTGCCTTTCTTCCCACCTTCCCCCTTCTGCAGATTGTTATTATTATCGTTGTTGTCGTTGTTGTTACTGTTTAAGAGGCCGTCCGCGTAAGAACGGATAAGGCAAAATTTGACCCATCACCGATTTTCCTGATTTTCTTAGTAAAAGTCCACTATTATATGCAATGAACAATTATCACATTTATTTGGATCAATTCGGATTTTTAGGTACTTTACGAGACGGTTTTCGATGACACCTCAAAGCTTGCAAATTCACCGTCGGGAAAGCTGCGATTAAGCTGTACATATCGGGCGCCGCCAAAATTTTTTTACTAACTTAAATCAACTGAAAA